TAACTATGAAAGGGTAACTTTGTCGCCATCTTATTTTTTCATGCTTTCAGGCGATATCCGACCCTGCCACTCTGAGGAGAGCTGTTGAATTTCTCAAAAATCGTTTTGCTATATTGGAAGGCTCCTATGGGTATGTAAAGAAGGCAAAACATTGAATGAAAAGAATATTGCTCTGTTGAAAAAGGCAGAAGTTGCAATCCTGAAAAATGCAAGGTATGCTTTTTTCGCTTATAGAGATTCTCTATCAAACAGTTATTCTGATGTATGTTCCTGATTTTTACAGAATTTATTGCGAGCGATGGGAGAAGCGGTTGGGTGATGTGGACAAAACTCCTTCTTAAACCTGAAAATTATTGTTTCGGATTGTGCCCAACATGTCCTACTGCTTTCGTCATTAAGTCAACACAAAGCTTTACCTCATGATTTCGCCATCTGCTAGTTTGTGTGTAGATCGTTCTCCTGTTATCTGGCAGAATGTTCTCGTTCTATATCTGTATAGTTGATATCCTCCGACCTCTGTCGACCGTGCCACTGACGCATTTTCGTTATATTGTATTTGTGGTCATTACAAGTGAGTTTGTGAAGCCGACCGCTGCAGACAATTGTGAGACATTAAACTCGCCATGAGCGGTGAGTACACCTTCTAGTCATTGATTCAGGTTAATAGTACATTATGTTTGTCGTGCCTTAATAATCAATTGTGCCTTCGAAAGTATGATATTCCAGTGGATCTAGAAACAGTGAGTCAGAAAAGGTATAATAAAGAATTGCGTTTCGTAATATTTTTTAGTTTATATTGGCTTGATTTCGGTCCTTTACGTTTGCCGCGTTTACCTTACCCGAGGTGTGCTACATATTCCTCACACGGTTGTCTTCTACAGTGATATCAACATTTTTCGCAGTTACTACAAGGGTCGATCATCCGTTCGCAGTATTCGAACGAGATCGTCGCGTTAGGGTTTGAGCAAGGTTAACTACATTTGGAAAAGTGCGAATGGAGATCGTAATTTTGGAAGTTGTAGAAGGAGTCGCGACTGTGGCAGTGGCTTGTCGATTTTTTTCCACGATTTGACGTAAGTTTCACGAGAGTAGCTTGAAGTAGACAAATTGGTGGATTTGCTGCTTCATTACCCCACCCCCCTCCCCTCCCCTCCCACCTCTTCGTTCCCTTAGCGCCGCTTGATGGCCGTTTGGAGTGGAAAGTGGGCGGAGTTGGCCTTGTCGAGTTGTCTCACACCAAGTAGTACACAAAAAACCACAATGGCAAAGGTGGCGGTTGGGGTGGGGGAGGTGGGTAGTATTGGGGGAGTCTCCCAAGACTGGTGGTTGTGGTGGGGGGTCGCTTCGAGACTTCCTAAAGGGAGGGTTGGTCGTAAAATTTCGGGAGAAGTGCGATCGCGACGGTTAACCCTGGTTGACTATAAGCGCACCTAGAGATTGGAAGAGATTTTCTGATGCCTTCTACGAATAAGCGAGGACATACATAAATTGCGGGCTCATGGATGGGCTCATGGAGATCATTTCTTCCATGCCAATGTTTCCGATAATTTATTTTTTGGTGAATCTCTTCTGAGAATCACGCCATCACGGTTGAAATGGAAGGCTTTCTGTTTCAGATGTATCCTAGACTTGATGACTTCTACATATTTGCGTGGAAGCCGACTTCGTTTTTTTTTCTGTTCTGGAGGTTGAATAGAAGAAAATGTTAGGTTGAGGAATCTGAAAAAGTGAGGTTGTTCTTACGCGGTCTGTTTGCGAGCTCGCATGTTCGATCTCTTCTCCAGGTAGTCTTTTCCGAAAACACGGAAAGGAAGAAATAATGAAAACATTTGCTAGGGTGGTGCTGGCTGTACGTGGTTCGATGGCTGAAGGAAACCTGCTTAATACCTTATTTTTCGAGAGCATTTCGGAGTTGTTGTTGTTAGTTAATCTGTGTAGTAGTGCGTT